TGGGGGGGGGTCCTTGTTACAAATATGGTATGTTGGGCCCCAAAACCCTATTCTAGTTATTAAGGCCCCCATATCAAACACCCTCAACCCTAATAAACCCTAAACCGGCCCTAAACCCTAAAACCTAAACCCTCAATCCTAAACCCTAAACCCTAACCTCGGCACCTCCCAAGCTCTTCAAAAACCTCCTCCTGGAGTGTCGCTTCCGACGCGGCCGCCGTCTCGGAGTGAGCCAGAGCCTGCGGTTCAGGGTTTAGGGTTTAGGGTTCAGGGTTCAGGGTTAACAAAAACTTGGAGGTACAGGGGACCTAGCGAGTAAGAAGAATACCGTACTTGGAGATAGAAGCGTTTGCCTGCTAGCTTAGATACAATGCTTATGGTCCTACTTTTTCTAAGTCAAGTAACTTAGAGGCAGAAGACGCAGCTGGTGGCTCACTTATTGCGCAATGATGGAGCACACCATGTACATACAGGCTTAAGCGACAAGCCCAAGCCATAAACAGCCTAGCACCTGAAGCCACAATGTTGAAAACTAGAACTTCCAAACCCGAATATAGGGGACTTCATGATTAGAATACTTAGGGTTCCAGGGGTATATTACACTGTAATTACAATAAGGAACCCCTGAAATATCATTAATCATTATTTAGGCCCCTGGCAAAGACCCGAACCCAACAAAGACTGGCACCAACCTGCCGACTTTCGCTGTGTGGTATAGCACTGGCGCCTACTACCTGGACCCAAAAAGTATGTAGAATACTTGCCTTATGTGGGTGTTGGGCCACTATTTTACCAACTTTTTTTTTTTGGGGGGGGGTTAGGTAAGCGCCTACTTACCGTTTGGTGGTCAGAAGTACATGCTTCCCGATCGGATCGAGGATTTAAACCTTAATGGCTTAGGGGTAGCGTGGCTCGGCAGGTTGCATATCACAGGCGTATGCTTGGCTGCAGGGGCTAGGGTTAAGTGATTCGAGGTCTAGGGCCTAGGGCTTCAATCGTCATTTGGTTTAGAGTAGTTCCCTAAACCCGAAACCCTGGTTCCAGAGGGACAGACAAAAAGCAAGGAACTGTTTTGCTGTCATAGCATGCGATATGTTTGTCTGCTGAGAGACTGATGTAGTGCTGCTGTTGCTCAGTCAATGGAAGCCAGCAAGAAAAGCTGTCATGTTGCATCCGTGCAAAGCGACCGAGGGCACAACTCAAACCCGAATCCAACCCCGACGTTTAGACGAACCCTAAAGGCAAGAACCTCTCGAGCCGCATCCATCCCTATACCCTAAGCCCTCTATAGCCCTCTAACGCTATTTAAGAAAATAAAATGCATAAACTTTGGTCCTAAACCCTAGGTTATCCTAAGTTCGGGGGCCCTTCGGGCTAATAAGGCTCAAACAGTCTGTCCTGCTCCCCATGGCGTAGCTCCATGCGGTGAGCATGGCCGACGAGGAGGCCACTCAACTGTCAAAGGTTTAGGGTTTGGGGTTGCCTGAAACCCTAAACCTTAAACCCTAAACCTTAAACCCTAAACCTTAAACCCTAAACCCTAAGCCCTAAACCCTAACCCGGGGGGCCTTCAGAGTCAGAATGGGGCTCCTTTAAGGGCTCCTCCACCAGGTTCCACCAGCTTTGCTCGAAGGGTTTTAAAGAGGCCTTATGAATCAACACGGGATTTTGGGGTCTTAAGCTAAGACCTTAAGAATCAACATAGCGTTTGCGGTCTTAAACTAAAGTACAGAAAACTAAAAAAAAACAAGTGCCCCCAGGAAGAGTATTACTACGTATTCATTCTTCTACATTACATTTCAGGGTTTAGGGCCTCGGGTTGTTGAAGGTGGGGACTGTCTGTTCACCGTGTAAGGCCTCAACAGAAGTCATGAACTCTTCGTTGGTCTTTGGTGCAGAGGGTTTCGGGTTCCTTGGGTATGCGCCTGGATATTTGTACGTTTCTGCTACAGTCACTGACCAAAAACCCTGAACCCTACACCCTTGTTCAAGCTCGTGAAATCCAAGATCCTAAACCCCCAAGCCCCTAACTCTAACTCTAAAGCCCTCGACCAAAACCCTAAACCCTAAACCCTAAACCCTAAACCCTAAACCCTAAGCCGAAAGCCCT